TTCAACACCAACCAAAGCATCGCAGGGCAGGATGAGACCCTCATCTATCACCGCTTCAGAAACCCACTTTTGGCAAGGATGGTCAGCTGCTCCTAGTGACTGCAGAGCAACAGATTTACCTCTCCAAATCTCAGTCGGAAGTGATCTGGAATATGCATGCGGTCAAGCAAGTCACCGGCCCCACCTTGGGCAACGGGATGAATGAATATCTTCCCCCAACTATCACAATTTCCTGAGTTTTAAGGAGATGCAACTGATGTCATCTACCTAGACTTGTGCATAGTGTTTGACACTGTCCCACACCATATCCTAGTCTCTAAATTGGAGAAACATGGATTCGACAGATGGACCACTCAGTGGATAAAGAACTGGCTGGACGGGTGCACGCAAAGAGTTGTGGTCAACGGCTCAATGTCCAAGTGGAGACTAGTGATGAGTGGTGTTCCTCAGGGGTCAGTACTGGGACCAGTGCTGTTCAACATCTTTGTTGGTGACATGGACAGCGGAATGGAGTGCACCCTCAGCAAGTTTGCCGGTGATCCCCAGCTGTGTGGCGAGGTAGACACGCTGGGGAGGAGGGATGGCATCCAGAGGGACCTGGACAGGCTGGAGGGATGGGCCCGTGCCAACCTCATGCAGTTCAAGAAGGCCAAGTGCAAGGTTCTACACCTGGGTCGGGGCAATGCCAAGCACAACTCCAGGCTGGGAGGAGAATGGCTGGAGAGCAGCCCTGAGGAGAAGGACCTGGGGGGGCAACCTGGGCTGGTGGGAGGTGTCCCTGCCCAGGGCAGGGGGTGGGACTGGGTGATCTTCAAGGCCCCTTCCAATCTAAACCATTCTATGATTCTAAAAATCCCATTTAAAGCAGCGGTGGTGGCGACCTGCTGCAGAGTCCAGAGAGAGCCTTGGCTTACCAGGGCTGGCAGTCACCTCCTCCTGGATAATTGGATAATGTTGACAATCTTTTGGGCTTAGAAAGCCTTCCTGACCTTCACCAGAGTCCCCTCCTTTCCTTCAACCACCACAAATAATTCAGGTACGAGAAAGCATTATCAAATCAGCCAAGGAGAAGCCGTCCTCGAGGGTGCCAAGAATGCAAACACCAGACCATTATGTTATTAAGAAGGTACAGATCTGCAGTCCCCCTACGTTCGGTTTGGCACGTAACCATTTCGAGCAAGAGCAGCTCGTCCCCGGCTGGCTTGCGCTCGGCCACCGGCACGGCACAACCCCGAGCAACACAGGAGAGGGGTTTGGGTCGACGAAGAGGGGTCACAAAGAAGGCTGGAAAGCCCCAACGGGACATTTTAGGCGATCTGAGGTGTAGGACAGGTTGAGGACAGCAAGGCGAAATAACGCACCCAAGAAACGAACTCCGGGGACTTCTCTGAAACAGGAGCCAAGGGAGGGCTCCGCTTTTCCAGGAAAAACCTTTCCCCGGCACCTGACGAGTCCCGGGTAAAGCGAGTTTCACGCGATGCATAAGGACGAATGCACAAAAGTGAATAGTTTGGGCAGCAGGCAAAGGCCAGGCTCCGTCCCCGTGGTCCCTGCCCGCCCGCATCCATCAGCCCCGGGCGGCTCCGAATCACCCGGGAGCTAAAAGGCAAACCGGGAGCAGAAAGAGCAAAGCGACACAAAAACTTGGCGCTTGAAGGAGCTGAACGCCCCCGTTGCTCATTTCTGACTGGATTTCTACCTCAGTTTTCCTGGTGAACTGTTATAAAATGCTGGGGTTTGGGTTTTTTGGTGTTTCCCCCCCCCCGGAGTTGGCAAGTTGCTAAGCTTCTGTACGCACAGAGCGCTTGGGAAAACGAGCTGTTGGCTCTCGGCGTGACAAGACTGTACTTAATACACTAACTATGAAATTATCCACACCCGGCAAACATAATTTCTGTTCGCAGAGGCAGCAGGCAGGCAGAAGTCACTTAGCTCCCCCCTCTTCCCAGAACACACCATCAACACCTCGCTGGTGACCAGACACCCGCCTCCCCTCATCCCTCTCGCCTCTCCCGGGAGGATTTCGGGCTTCAGCAGAGCCCAACGGCCAACGGGACTCCGCTTGGCAGGGAAAGCACGGGCAGCAGAGGTCGTACTGCTGCACTTGGCGTTGAGAAACCTAATTAATTCCAAAGCAAGCTTTGAAACAATTAGGAGTACAAAGAGTTGAGTCGCTTGAACGACACCTGGGCCATTCGCTGCTCACGCAGGGTGAAGGGCCGAAGGGTTTTCTGAAGGCTTCCAGGGCAAAAGTGCTCTGCAAGGCAGCAGCGGCTCGCCGGAGCCCACGGGCGACGAAGGTTAAACCACATGTCACTTCAGCATCGCCGCGTGAGCCACGCACTGCTGCATCTGCTGCAGGCAAAGGGGACGTTCGTCCACGCATCCTCGTTCGCCGCATCCCTGGGAGCCACAGAGGCTCATCCTGCAGGAGAGGTCAGGTCCAGTTGCCACCGATTCTTTCTAACACCTCCAAGAAAAAGCTGCGTCTTTGGAAAACCGAGTTTCGCCGTACAAAGCCAAACTGAAGTCTCAGACCAAGTTGGTGTAGAGACCCACAAGGAGCTGCTGGCCCTGCCCTGAGGGCTGGTGGCCGCTCTTTGCTTTGCAGGAGCCCGACCATGTCCCGCCAGCGCAGGGTTTGGGTTTCACTGCAGCACATCCCGGCTGGGGAGGGAGCAGCTTGCCCGGTTGGATTTCCACTTAAAAAACCCCAGGTGAACAGAAAACCCCACCCTACCCAAACGCTTCACCACGGTGCAGTTTCCCACCTCCAAAAATAAGCATGTTTATTCCCAGAGATCCAGTTAAGAGAGAGCAATACGTGATCTTCCACAGCTCGCCAGCCAGAGGGACCCGGACAGGCCGGGGAGGTGGATCTGTGCCAACCTCATGAAGTTCACCAAGACCAAGTGCAAGGGCCTACAGCTGGGTCGGGGCAACGCCAAGCACAACTCCAGGCTGGGAGGAGAATGGCTGGAGAGCAGCCCTGAGGAGAAGGACCTGGGGGTGCTGCTGGATGAAGAGCTCAACATGAGCCGGCAGTGTGCGACTGCAGCCCAGAAGGCCAACAGCACCCCGGGCTGCATCAGAAGCGTGGCCAGC